CCCCCAGCTCAGCAGCAAGTTAGCAGCTTAAAGCCAAGTGGCTGAAAAGTGAAAAAATGAATGTAATTTAACAGGCTCAGAGGAATTAGGCCACTAGTTGTATTTCTGTGGCTTCCTGCCAAATCCTATAATGAAAGTTATATATATACACACATATATACACACATATATACATATATAGTCCCGCGTGTAAACAAACGCATTGCTACCCCGCAACATCTGAGTTATAGAACATAGAAGCACATAAGACAGGCTGTGTCTTGTTCTACAGTTTTCCAGTCAGCAGGAAGTACTTTACAGATGGTGTGTCACGCTGTGGCTTGGTGCTCAGCGTATGCAGACACACACAAACACGCACATAGAGGAAGAGGTTCAGAATTCTGCAGAAGGCAGAAGCCATTCTGATTAAGTGTTTGTGTTGATGTGCTGCACAACAGCAATACACCTTGTGGTGTCTGTCCTGCAAGTTCAGGCCCTTAATCCCAGCAGTCTGTAGGGTGCAGTGTCGCATAATGCTGTGCGCTAGGGGATGCAAGATATGCAAATTGCTCTGGATGGAAGCATGTTTCAAGCAAACTCTGTAAATAATGCAGTACAGTAACTGCGCTCCAGAGTTATGTATGACATCAGAACCAAAAGCAGAGCAGCTAGCTTTTGCAAGCTTCCTGAGCCGGAGGACGGCACTCTGGACCAGAGCAGCTTTCTGAGGCTACAGCGGTGACCCGGGGTGTGTCTTCCCACCAAAGTAAGTGCGAGTTTGCTGAGGACAGTGCTATGGTCTAGAACAGGTGTAGTCAAGTGGGTCGTCCGTTAAGACGCATGTTTGTCCCGTCGCCATGGTCACCGGGGATACCAGGATTCCGTGGGATGTTCCAGCCCAAGGAGGGGAGCCCTGCCTCGTGCTGCAGGTAGCAGTTCCCGCCTTAGGTAATGTTACGCTGAATTTAAGGTTAGCCCAGTGTGCGAACCTCAGACCTGGTAGGACGCACAACAGAGGCCAGCCAAGGTCCCAGCGGCACAGCAAAGAGCGGCCAAAGGAGCATTCTACAATAAGCAGCAGCACGGGCCCCTTCCAGACGCTGCTGAAGACAAATTTCATGGACCAAGGAATCAGTGTAGACACCCAGATCCATGCCTGGTTAACTTTAATTAAGACTGCAGAGAGGAACAATCATAAAAAAAATAGATACATATAATTTTATGCAAACTGATAAAACATATCTGAGTTTTTTAAAAGCAAACAGACATG